CGCAATAGGTCACTTGAGACTTTGTCTCAGGTGACCTAATAATATGCTTTGTAGTTGGATAAAAAGTTTTCAAAAGACATTACTACGTACAGTTGTGATCGTTTCAGCAGCTGCCATCATGTCAGCGAGGCCCTGACTGACAATGTAGGCCTCCAGAGCATGTAGCATGGGTGCGATTCCATCAGGCACCCGGTCCATCAGGCTAAACATCAGGCGCAGTTCTTTACCAACAGAGTAATACGACACTCAACACAAGAAGTACAGGGAGAAAACTAGGCAGTGTGATTCACTTATCGTAACTTTCAACAAATTTCATAGTATATATATATAAGGTTCCTTGTCAGCGATGCTCTCAGCTTAATTGCAGCCTTCGGCTGTCTTTAGCCGAGGGGACTATTGGTTTTATATAATAGCTATATTTTCAATTATAGTATATCAGTTCTATCTTCTTGTAATATGATGTATATGTATATATAACTGTTCTGTTTCACTTTGTCTTGATAAAGGAGCTAATCCCTCCGAAAATTTGACAACCTAAACTTGTCCACACTGTTGGAATTACTTCTTTGCCCCATATACTATTTTAAGTAATTCGTATCCTTCAGACATACCTCCATTAGGATCCAGTGTTATATGGGATTTTACCGTCTATATTACTTCTTTGACCCATATATTTATAAATAGGTATACAATTGGAATGGATAACAGGTAAAGCCTATAGAAATCTTCTCCATTACTGGTTTTATAACACATATATACACAAATAATATTTGAAGGCAAAAAGATTATCTGTTTTATGTATATAAGATCAGTAAAGAAGTAGTTTTGAACATGAAATAATTATTCAAATAATCTTGTGAAGATACATGTTATATTTTATCATTCCATTCATGAATTCATGTCCTTTCCAATTAGTTACTGGTAAAATATTCAGTCAATTTAATTCTATTAGTTTACTGCACCCATCTGTTTATCAAAAATATCTTACTGAAAACTATTCAATAAATATTTTGTGAAGTTTTTCAAATGGAACAATTTCCAATGAGGTTACTTTAGAGACAAGCTAACAGGTAAATTTACCGTGGTAAGTATTTCTATATACCTGTCCTTGATACCATCTGATCCAATAATAACAAGCTACAAGATCACTTGTCGATTTTGAGCTTAAATCATATATAAAACTTAGATCTGTTTGAAAGTTTGGTATCGAATGTTTCCTTTTTTATCGTCTTCAACTAATCTGTTAACAAGTCATTCCAACTGATATGCCATGCCTGTGCCCCGCTTTGACCATCAATGCACATGTCAAGTTTGGTTGGTGTAGCACTTATAGTTTCAGAGAAACTGACTTAAACACAAAAACTTAATGTTGATGGAGATGCTGACAAAATCAAGGTAAGGAAAGGTAGGCCGCATCCAGCATTTGATGCATGGGTTGAGATGTACTACCTAAGATGCATCTTTAGTCCAAGTTTGGTTGGTCTAGCACTTATACTTTCACTGAAACAAACTTAAACGCAAAAACTTAATGTTGACGCTGTCGCCAGAAAACCAACACCCGAGTCTAGTTTCCGCTACCTTGTGGGGGCGAGACAAAAATGTATGTTTTCTGAGATTAACGGCGCCATCAAATTTTGATACTTACTTTCTGTCTCATTATTCTTTATCATAGAAGCACATTCTTTGAGAATGGTTTCCTTGAAAGCTGTGACGAGGACATTTACACAACATTCTGTCAACTGTGAAAGATACAATGTGACGGTTATACAGATCTTCTCAAAACTTCAATGACTGTCTTAATGAGGAATTTAAGAAATGAATATTGTTATTTTGGAATACTCACAAAATGTTCAATCAGTTTTTGTAATAATTACCATATTTTGTTTATCTCAAAAAAAGACAAAAGGATTTTTGATACTGGTCATTCTGTTTTCATTTTATCAGATAACAAACACATCAAAACTCTGATTTTAATAATAATTATAATAATAGTCTTTATTTATACTTGATGTCAAAGTTGAGTCAACGACTCGTCTAACATTTGGTCAAGTAGTTATAAAATATACAATAATTTACAAAATGTACATAAAACAGAGAATCATCAGAATAAAACATGATTAAATGCAATTGTATAAAACATCCATTTACAGTTCTTAAGATAAGTCCATAAAAAACTTCTTAGCACTCTGTTTAAAAGACAATGGTGAGGGTGCATTTCTAACATGTTCAAGTAAAATATTCCATGTATACGGTCCCTGGTAGGTAGAAGATTCCTTAAACATTAGTTTTAAATGAAGGTAGGTAAAACAAGTTATTAGACAAAGATCTAGTCACTCTTGACTGGACATCCGTAGTGTATTTAAAATGGTTAAGATAGTGCGGAGCCAATCCATGTAAAAATTTGTACATTAAAACTGACTGATTGTGCAATAAACGTTTTGAAAAAGGTAGCCAGTTAAACTTCTTATACATGTCACTGGATGGAGTATTGAACTCACAGTTCAAGATAACCCTTGCAGCTCCTTTCTGGAGTTTATCGAGTTTGGTTGTATTTACCTGAGAAGTGTTTCCCCAGGTATTTGCATAATAGTGAAAATATGGATTTACAAAACAGTTGTAATATGTTAAACAGGAACCCTGACTTGAACAATCTCAAACGTTTCATTTGAAAAATGTAAAAAGACAGCTGTTTGCATACATCGTTAACATGTGCATTCCAAGATAAACATTCATCAACAGTGACGCCAAGGAGTTTTTCTGTTTTTACATTTTCGGTGCCATTGGTAATAACACTCAGGCCTGCTCTTACGTTGATATGTAATAATTAACATAGTTTTTGTTTTCTCAGTATTAATACACATTTTATTAGAACTACACCGTTTAGAAATAAGATTTGCATCAGCATTAAATTTGTCATTTATTACATCAATGAATTTATCATTAGTCTCAACTGTGGTATCATCGGCATACAAGTGTGAACTGCAGTGATAATGACTTTTATTTAACACTGTAAAGGGAATGAGGTAATTTGAGAACATTTTTTTTTTTTTTTGTTGAGTTTTGTGTATCACCAATTCCTTTAGAAGTTGTGTATTTTACTCTGGATTTTTATTGCCATTTTAAGAAGTAAACTCAGTTCAGGCAGTATGTGTGGGTTTATTAATGCTATAAAAACATAAATGGAAGCAGCATCGCCTGTTTTTAATATTATTTCGAAATATAAATATGAATTGAATTTCTTGGTTATGTTTGTGAGAAAATATAGGAACAACAGTCATACAACTAATTATATCTGTAAAACTAATAATACATGTCCTGTATATTGAAATTTTGTGAAAATTTGTGGACATTTTGAACTATCAAAAATCTGGAAACTTTACAGATGTGTATGTTGATGACTTACTGTTGAGACTGAACTACATCCCCATCCCGTCTCCAGATACCGACGGGCTCTCGTCTCCTCCTCCTTCAGCTTAGCGTCAGCATACCTCATATAGTTCTGTACACCATTGGCCTCCAGGTATTGGGGCGCCTTCAGTTTGTAGAACTTCTCTGTGGCATCAAGGTAAGCTTTCTCAAAGTTCTCCCGGTAAATCTTTAACTTGTCTTCTACATCTGAACTAAGGTTTACTGGTTAAACAAAAAGTGGAAATCATAGCAATGACAAAGCAGTTTCATATCTACTTTCTACTGTTTACAATTTAAGCCTTTAGGCAAATTCACACATTAATTTTAGAAATTCAGAACATCTTTTAANGCAATGACAAAGCAGTTTCATATCTACTTTCTACTGTTTACAATTTAAGCCTTTAGGCAAATTCACACATTAATTTTAGAAATTCAGAACATCTTTTAATTTGTGTTGACAAAATTGGCAAAATATAAATATATATATATATATATGAATAATCGTACCATATGATTCTCGTACACCTATGACGAGCTGTGAGTCGAAAGCCTCTCCATTCCTCTCTGCGTGGAGTAATTTCATGGCACTGTCCTGCAGTCTTTGTTTTATATTGGAGAAAATGCTCTGGTTCCAGCTGTCCAGCATCAACTAGAACCACACAACACAGGTTTGCTACAAGTGAGGTATTGCTATTTTCCAGTCGAGCACAAGCCAATCATTCAAAGCTTTGCCACCTAATCAATTTACGCAAGCTCAAATGAAGTTGTCATCAAAATGGAAAATCTTTCCATAAGAAATAATTGTAATTGTTGGCAGTACTAAATTATTTGTTACATTCAATGTGTTACACGAAAATAATGTTAATTGGTGATAACTTACTGAATTATATGTTAGACATTTAGTTAGGTTTATCTATGTGATTACTTCCCCTACCTTTCTGACTAGACTTTCCTCTCCTTGAGTCTTTTTCTGCATGCTGCCATGTGGCTTGCCAGCAAGGGATGTGACTAACTGCATAAAGGGTTTGGGGAGGTAGTCACACTGAGTGAAGAACTTGCCCCACTCAGCGATGTAAGCTTTTAGTAGGGCGGAGTCCTCATGGTGCTGCAGCACTCTCTGTAACAGGCACAGTTAATTAACTAGTTGTTTTTTATACAGTGGTGTACAATTACACAAGCCTAGTAGATATTATGTTTGTACTAATGAAAATTGTCAACAGGAAAAGTTTGCTGGACAAAGAACAGATGCTGCACCTGGCTTATTTCATCAGTCCTTCAGACCAGGGGAGATTAAACAAAGATACTTATTTTTTTCAATTTAAGGTCCACATGGCTTTATAAAAGTTATAGACAAAGGTTTTGCAATAGTGTTTACTGTGAAAATAATTAACATGCTTTGACGAAAAATTGATTGATCTAATACAAACAGATACTGTAATACACCAGTTTAAATATTTAAACAAAACAAGAAGCCTGGAGGACATCCATGCATAGACTAACAAACTTCATTTAAAAAAAAAAGGATGGCAATGCAAATTACTGGCTAAATACAGACCATGGTTTGATAAAGATTAAAACGGACAAGTAACACAGCCTGAGGAGAAAAGCATTAACACATCTTTTCAATAAAATAATGAGAAAGATATATTTTTTTAAATATTTTGACTGCAACCAGGCAAATTATGTTTGTATTTTTTTTCAGGCGAGTCCTAACATCATTTCAAAAATGTTGAGTCCCATAACTAGAGCTATAGTTCATTCATAAAATGAAGAAGAGTCCTGCACTGGAAAAGCATGAGACCAGGGTTCAAATATAAGTGTACAAAAAATAACTGATCAAGCACAAGACTTACGGACTGGGCATGTCTGATGAAGTCAAGGATATCCTCCTGTAGGGCACCATACATCTTGTTTGGGCCTTTGTCGTCCCATAAGCACACAGAGTGCACAGCACTGCAAAAGTAGTGAACTTATATATCATAGGGCATATTATATTACACCTGTACTTTTGTACAGGAAACTTTAAACTGAAATTATATCTACGGATACAAATTTCAAGGATTTAATATAGTTAAATAAATACATAATCATCCATCAACGTGCGTTCAAAAGTGTCCCGTTACCTAGATATAGGCAATCAAAGTTGACCGCTCCTTACTGGCTAGAATTTTAATGAGCTATCAGGTCACATGGTACTTGTTACAGAGTGGCACATTTTGGTCACTGGTCCATATAACAGGTAGCTAGGGTTCAGGAGTTATACCTCTCCTTTATATTTCTGATTTGCTTCAAAGGACACGTCTGCCAGTGCGATTCTTGGCATGAACCTACATACTAAATACATACAATTCTCTACCAATTTAGGTTGAAGACGGGAAGAAGACAAATCACTATTTACGTAAAAAAAATACTTTGGGGGACGATTCTGATAAGACAGAAACGTAATTAAGATATGAATATAGCACAGAGGCTACACAGAATGAAAACTCCATATATTACTTGATTTAAAATAAGAAGATGACGTAAGAGCCAGTTTCATTATGTGACTTTTTAGAGTCATATATCTGCAATATAATCTGCTGTAATGTTCTGAAATCTGCTGATAAATCGCATGTATTCCCCTATATATGTATATACATGTATGTATTCCCCTATATATGTATATACTTAATAACCCCATGAAACGTTACATATCCACATATCAACGTCTAAAAGTGAAAGTTTTACCAAATATCCTTTGCATCGTAGACATGGAAAGCATAAACTTTCACTCAATTTGGTTGTCTCATAATCGTGAATGTAGATCACTTGAAAAGTAAAAACACCGGACAGTATAGTTTAATTGTATACCCAAGTGTATATGTGAACAACAAATTTATGTCAAGTGTCAATCAAACTGTCACTGTCACAATTAAATATGATAGTTTGAAATATTTGTTTCGTTGAAGTATTGCTTTAGATGTCTGCTGAAATCGGGATGCGAAAATGAAAATGGCCCTTCTCCACTTTATGATTTTTTTCTTCATTGCACTTAAAATAAGTAACTTGCTAGTCTATTTGCGTGGAATAAGCAAATACTTTTCTCTCTAATGTGTATTGAAATATATAAAAAATAAGTGTACCGTTCTGAGGCATTATTTGCCTACCCCGTTTAACAACAATTACAATAAGGTTTTTTACAACATCTTTATAAATAATTAAACACTAGCGCTCTGGGAAAATACATGGAAAATGATCTTCCACTGAAACAAATGCAATGTGTTAATTGTCGGTGACTAAAAACAAAACTCCAATAGTCCATAATTATACTTTACATGGACACGTACTGGAACAACTTAGTCAGGCCAAGTATCTGGGTGTAACACTATCATCTGACCATAAATGGGATTCACATATAAATACTATCTGCCCAAAAGCAAATTTGACACTAGGCTTTTTAAGACGAAATCTTAAAATTGGCTCAACATCAGCCAAAGTACAGGCATACAAATCATTAGTTCGACCATCACTTGAGTATGCCTGTACAGTATGGGACCCTCACACCCAAACAAATATTGACAAGTTGGAAATGGTCCAGGGAAGGGCAGCAAGCTATGTGCTCAATAAGCACAGGTACAACCATCGTACCTCCAGTATGTCAGAAATGTTGGACCACCTAAAGCTGCGCCCTCTAGCAGATAGACGTAGAGATGCTCGTCTGACCATGCTTCATAACATTGTAAACCAGAAAGACGCTATCGTAAAACCAGACAGATTAATTAGTTAGAAAATAATCCTCAACAAACCACCAGTTTTCGTATCAAATTCCCCACTCAAAAACCCAGACCAGAAAGGTATAATTTTTCCCTCAAACTATACCCGAGTGGAATAAACTCCCACCTGACATTATTTCAAGCCCCACAACGGAATTATTCAAATAAGCCCACTACCATCACTTTTCAAACGCAATTTAGACCATCTCCTATCTTTTAAAAACAATCTCTTTTCATGTTTCACTCCTCGTCTGACATTTTATTTTCAAATTGTTGAAGTTGGTCAGTACCATTTAGAAGTAGAAGTAGAAACAGGTTCGTCACTCTGGTGTGTCTTGAAGTAATTACCCAAAACCCAAGCACAAACCTTACTGCTTCATATTCTATGCATATTTTTTCAGAAAAGAAGCAGGTTCCCAAATTTCCACTCATCGCTTGCTTCAAATTATAAATGTTTTTCAAACTCAAAGAATTATGTCGGGCTCAATCTAGTTGGTGATATTCAATTCAACTAGGCTTCACAACATTGGTTTTGCGTTTGTTTTAAAACACAATTTTTATAAACAGGAACTGCATTAGTTTGGATTGATGTTAAAATTATCAATCAAGGTATATTCTGAAAACAGTGTGTCACGTGTAAACTCATCACAATTTCATGGATCCGCCCCTAAAGATATATTTTTGTTAAAAATGCTGCTAAACAAATGTTGATGTTGGTATTTTAAACTATTCAATAAATGTCATATCATCACCACCATTACTCCAAAATTCATAAAACTTCAAAATTCATAAATTTAATAAAACAAGAGGCCCATGGGCCTTAACGATCACCTGAGTACTACAGTATTAATTTTTGTTGTTGAAATATGAAGTGGAGATAATGTTGTCAATCATCCCTACCAAAATTTGAGTAAAAAAAAAATTAAAAGTATAACTTTAACTCAAGTTAGTCAGGACAATGAGTTGATCATTCCTAGACCGCGTTTCAGTCAATATAGCCTATTAGAACTTGTTTTTAAGTTTTAAATTAAAAAAAATCCAAAATGGCAGCCATGGCGGCCATTATGGATTTTTGATGGACCCGAAAAAAATCTATTTTGCCAGGACCATTCCTACCAAGTTTCAGTTAAATGGGCCTAGTAGAACTCGGCTTTAAGTTTGAATAGTTTTTCAAAATGGTGGCCATATTGGATTTCTGATCGACCTAAAAAATAACAACACTTTGTCAGGACCTTGAGTTGATCATTCCTACCAAGTTTCAGTTAAATAGGCCCAGTAGAACTTGACTTTAAGTGAGAAATAGTTTTTTTAAATGGCGGCTGTGACAGCCATATTGGATTTCTGATTGACCCAAAAAATAACAACACTTTGTCAAGAACATAAGTCGATCATTCCTACCAAGTTTCAGTTAAATCGTCCTAGTAGAACTTGACTTTAAGTTTGAAATATGTTTTTAAAATGGCCGGCCCTAGTGGCCATATTGGATTTTTCATCAACCCAAAAAAATAACAACACTTTGTCAGGACCATTCCTACCAAGTTTCAGTTAAATCGGCCCAGTAGAACTTGACTTTAAGTTTGAAATAGTTTTTCAAAATGGACGGCCCTGGCGGCCATAATGGATTTCTGATCGACCCGAAAAATAACAACACTTTGTCAGGACCTTGAGTTGATCATTCCTACCAAGTTTCAGTTAAATAGGCCCAGTAGAACTTGACTTTAAGTTCGTAATAGTTTTTCAAAATGGCCAGCCCTGGTGGTCATATTGGATTTCTGATTGACCCAAAAAATAACAACACTTTGTCAGGACAATGACTCGGTCATTCCTACCAAGTTTCAGTTAAATCAGCCCAGTAGAACTTGACTTTAAATTTGAAATAGTTTTTCAAAATGGCGGTCTCAGTGGCCATTTTGGATTTCTGATCGACCCGAAAAATAACAACACTTGTTAAAGGAGTTGTCAGTAACATTCCCATGAAGTATCAATGAAATCCCTTTGACAGTATTTCAGCTTAATTTGAAAATGTAAAATGTTAACGGACGACGAATGATGGACAAGACGGATAGCAATAGTTCACTTGAGCTGAAGCTCAGTTGACCAAAAAACAAATATCGTATATGATACACATACATGTTTACCGTATTAAACATCGTCAGTTTTGGTCCAGGTTACTAGCCTAAGGTCAAATCGCATGTAAAATACAGTTACACACTGTTGAAATATACTTATAATGCTTTCAACAACAAAAAATCTTCCAACATTGGGGACAAAAAGAAACGCACTGGTACATCATACTACTCTGTACTTGTGTTAGTTGGAGGATTGGTTATCAATGCCATTTGGCCATGACATTCACAGGTAACACCTCTGAGGTAATTAGTTTACCTGTGATTTTACAGGTAGGTATCATAAATGCCCTTTGGCTATAGACTAGTATTAAGTGGTAAGAACTATAGCTAATTAACATACCTTTTAATTCACAGATAAGATATTTAGGTGTGTAAACTGTGTATTACTATCACTCAGCTAAAAGTTACAATGTACATTGAATGACGTTGATGCAGACACGGAATTAGATTTTCATGATTCAGACTTGAATGTATAACTTTTCTTTCAGAGAATTGATGTCTTTATTTGTAGATTGATGATTTTACCCATACAACATAATTATTATATTGGTTGCTGCCATTACTTACAACATTTTGCAGATACATGTAATATGTAAATATGTAAAGGGGGCATGTCAGAATGGGTACACCTAATTGACATGACATTGTATAAGTCGTGCCACTGTGACGTCACAGATCACGTGACCTCATACAGAGTTCAAAATATGCATATTCACTTGGCTAATACAGATGGGGCATCACCTGGCCTGTCTATCATCTGAGTATCGAGAGAGACGGGGTCTCGGCCACTACATCACCTGGCCTGTCTATCATCTGTGTATCGAGAGAGACAGGGTCTCGGCCACTACATCACCTGGCCTGTCTATCATCTGAGTATCGAGAGAGACGGGGTCTCGGCCAATACATCACCTGGCCTGTCTATAATCTGAGTATCGAGAGAGACTGGGTCGCTCGGCCACTACATCACCTGGCCTGTCTATCATCTGAGTATCGAGAGAGACAGGGTATAGGTCACTACATCACCTGGCCTGTCTATCATCTGAGTATCGAGAGAGACGGGGTATTGGTCACTACATCACCTGGCCTGTCTATCATCTGAGTATCGAGAGAGACTGGGTCTCGGCCACTACAGACGGGGGTCTCGGTCACTACACAACTTAATGCATCAAATGACCATAAAATATGAAATTATTAAAAATCATGGTCAAAACCCTTTCACATTACAAAATTACATGAAACTATAACGACCAATTTCTATTTTTACTTAAGTAAAAGCAGATGAAATAGTATACAGTTAAAACATATGGGCTTTATGTTCCAGGTCTACTTCCCTAGGAAAGCTGATGGGAATACCTGGTAGGTCTGGTCAAGAGGAAGGAACCAGGATTTTGCTATATCCCCAAAGCTCATACATTATTTTATCATACTTGTACAAAACCAAGACATATTTAGAAAGTAATGTTCCAACCACCGAAAAGCTACATTGCCATATATACCTTCTTTCAATATCAAAGTTGATAACAAATGGACAGTGTAAGGTCAATACAAGCTCTGCCCGTCCACAAGCGTCCAGGGTTGTTCGATATTTGTGACTTACAAGGCTGATATAGAGAACTAATAACATAAACAGTGAAGTAAGGGCAAAAGCAGGGAATAGTAAATTTGATAAATTACTTTAATAGTGAAAGCCGGGGTATGTTAATTTGTTTTAATGCAATACTCTTTACTTTTCTTTTTTCTTTTCTCCATTTAGAAAAAAAAAATCACAATTATGCAGAATGTTTTATCATACTAACCAGAAAAGATCCTGCCATTCTATTTTGGTGACAGGCTCCTGACGAAGCAACTTCAGGGCTGTAGGACGCATTAACGGCCATCGTTCTTCAAACTGGGACTGTCCTTGTTGCTGAAAATATGAAGTAAAATCAAAATGTACAAAGGCAATCCATTATTGAAACTAATTTAAAAATCAGCATCCATTACAAAATTAATGTAAGTTAATATATAATAATATTCGCCATAAAAATAAGCACAGACTATGTGAAAATTCAGCTTTCTAACATCATTGATTTTGAAAAGATTAGTGCTACTGGAGAAAGAAAGTTAACAGGACATAATTTTGTAAAATGCATGGCAACATGTGAATTTTATGTAATCATTTTTTTTAAAAGGACTTAAACCAATATTTTACAATAGATAAAATGGTAATAGCTTAGTTTAACATGCTTCAGTAATGATATATATACGTCTGGGAAAATCACAGAAATATGGCAATAAATCAAAATACCAATTCCTGATGCTTAAGACTAATCAACTAGATTCAATATAAACTACCTACAACAACAATTTAAACAAAAGAGGTATAGGGACTAATTTGTTTTCAAACATGCAACCATGCTTTAAATAGCTTGACCATCACCAGTTGGTGGTCACTTTGTTTGGTCTAGGGAGTGTGTGCTATAGATCTAGAGTTACTAAAAGAAGCAGCAACTTTCCAATCCTCTTAATTTACATCCCTGGTTTCGGGTTTCATTAATCCAAAACTGAAGGGGAAGATTGTTCTTTCTTTTTCCCCCCTTTTGAATGAATGCTAGTATTTAGACAGAGTTTGTGTCCAGACACTTATCTACTGTACAAATGGGTATTAAAAGTTATTTTCCTGATAAATGTTCTTTTATTTCTTGCATGTGCAACGACAATTATACAGGTGATGAGTAATGTTGATGAAAAGTATTAACACAACAAATTTCTTGGCCATAATATGGGTAGTCGGACACTAGTCCTAGACCAATGGAATATCAAGCTGGATTAGTGGTTTTAAAACCTGCTAGCCTATTTGACTAGTCAAAATCTTATAGTACTGATCATGTTGAATACTATTAGGTTTCGTAGAATATGTACATTGACTAAGTAGTGAATTTGAAACTACCACTAGCCTAATAATTAGTGTTTTTTAAAACTAATTTCTAGCCTTCAAAGCCCCTGAGTAAAGCGAAAAAGTTTTGTGAAAAAGAAAGTATAACAAATGTATTTCTTAAGCATATAACGTTTTATTACAGTACACTGGGAAAAGCAACCCAAAATAAGAAAAATTCTGAACAGATTATAACTCTTCTTTATTGGAGATAACAAAGAGCTTTAAAACAGTAATGAAGATTTAGCCAATTACTCGTTTCTTTTCTAGATATAAAACAAATAGGGAAGGATTTTTTTAACCAAATTAGGAAAACAGATTTACAGTCGACACTTGAAAAAAAACCTTGAAGTTGGCACTGGTCTGGATTCATAGATTAAGTCAGGTTACAGGAAACATTTTTTTTTATGCTTTATAAGCATACAATTAATTGTTGCTGGGAAAATCAATTCCCTGTTATGGACATCACATATGATGACAGCGCTTTCAAAGCAATCAAATGTTTCCTTTCTGTTAAAACAAAACAATTCCATCTATTAGGCTACAAAAAATATATTCATCTTCCTTTTCCTCCAAAATTATTTATATTCTTTCTTTGTTTACCTACAGCTGCCCTGCTATTGTCTTTTTAAAGTACACTTCACACTTCAAATCACCACTTTCAAATCATGTTATACATAGGAATCGATTATATGTGTTTTAAATAGCTATAACAATCTGGTTACCAAAATAATAAGTGTCAGTCTGAACCACAACCATGAAATCGATGTCTTATTCTGATCAGTGACAGACAGAAACGTTTTATCTTAAAGACTGTCAACACCAATCCGTTTGCTATTTACAAACAACTCTTATCTTATCAGAATAAACCAGAAACAATAAAATAACTGTTAAACAACTGAAATGAATAGGATATCATGCAAAGAGTTAATAAAACGAGAATACGCAATATTATGAACGATTTGTGAAATAATTCCTCACCTTCAACATTGCCATCTTTATATTCCATCGGAACCTCTCTAGACTTACACATCTTAAGTGAAGGCTGGTGACAAACTTATCGAACGTCATTATTGCGAGATTTAGCGAGAGTCATTTCTAAACATGGCGACAACCGAAAGCATGCCCGAACAAACGAAGCACGCTGGCATTCCTCTGGCAGAATTTGTGGTGAGAAAAGATGCATGTCCCTAATGAACTATTTTTGAAGATGACATAGTTTTCGCTAGAATGTTTGAATGTTTATAACATATCCACGATATAGACATGTCGCGTCTTGACTTTTGGGAAGATGGCATATCGCAAGAGGATGACCATAAATAATCAGGCAGTGTGTTTTGAAGGAATTCTAGACTGGCTTTTGATACAAAGCACGTTGGCTGATATTTATTGGTTTATACTTAAACGCCTTCATTTTTTTTCAGGAGAAAAATCATACGTCATTGCCTCCGAGGTTCTACAACTTACAAGTGAAAACTCGTCGTCACAGTACCAGTAATGGCGTATTGTCATGACGATGTATTGTAATGAATAGGAAATTAATAAAAAAGCACTATGTTCTTTAATATGTATTCATAAACAAAATCAGGCATGCAGGTATACACAAAAACATATGGGCATCTAATATTCTACATTACAGAAAACAATCAGTACTTGTCATGAAATCTGACTAGACTAAGTAGCCTGAGTTTCCTCTGGCCCTGACACCAGACTTTGACAGATAGATGTCTGGTGTGTGGCCAGAGCGCACTGCTATATGAAAAGGTGGAATTCTCCGACACCGCTTTGTGTCAGAGAGTTTTGAGGTGCTGACAACAAAAATTGACCATGACACAATACATTACTCACATTTATCGATAAATGGATTAATTATTGATCCAAATCTGCTCTTTTTATCACCAACAGCTGCGAAATTCTGTCAGTAGAGTCTTCGGTTTACAATCGTTCAAAATTTCCCACATGAGCGAACGTCATTTTTGTAGGTCATTGAGTGACTTAACAACAAACCATACTGATCTGGACCTAAAACAGAATATATTATTCTTGTTTTGAAAATTTCAGGACCACATTTTTTTGTTGATTAGTCACTCCTTGATACCAAACGGTGTCTAAATTTTTTTCTCCACTTTTTCATATAGCAATGCGCTCTGGACCCATACCTGACATCTTTATGTTAAAATGTTTTAGGCTGGTGTTAGGGCTTCAGGTATATAATGTGTGGAAATCTGGCCAACCATATATGAGTTTAATATAATTTTTTTTTTTTGAAAATTGAGGACAATTTCAAATGTGAATGCATCGGCCATACACTACTAAACAGACTATAAAAATTGCCTAAAAATAGTTTGCGGTGAAACATCCTAGTGCAAAAAGGCCCAGTTGAATATGGATTGCAGACAAAATAACCTGGCACTGTGAATGCAGTTAATGGTCTTTCACCCTGAAAATTGCAATGCACTTTGATTCCATAACCAAAAAAAAGTTTATATATTTCTATTGCATCCTTCATGGCCCATTTCTGAAATGTGTTGATTCTTTGATTACAGATCAGACTTGATAGATCTATAACATTTGCACACTTGCTCAACCACAGTAAAAGAGTAGGCATATGAATCAATAGTTTTACCCTCTTTGGCATGCATATATATATGCCTGATCCATTTCGGATTCAAATCTGATGGCAACAAAATTGAAAAGGTCAAAAGGACGAAAGCTCATATGTTTTGAACCATTTCTGTAATATGTTCAAGTGCAACTGAAGATGATCTGTAAGGCCCATCATGGCTGTCTGAAACCAAACAGGTTTCCTGAAATGCACATTAGTGCCTATACCAGAAGCTATTCATGAAAACTCAAACTATCTAATCGTACAATAATTTCTTGTTACATGCTGTAAACAGTGTTTATTTATTTGTCTTATTTTTTGTTACTATTTTTACAGGAGGATGTTGATAGTTATATGCAGAGAGCCAGTAATGAATCTGCTGAAGTAGTTCTCAAGAGGCTTGATGAGCAGCACAATAAATACAAATTCATGGAATACAACCTCAACACCAAAAAAGCTAGGTAACCTTACATTGACAATTTCCAGTAAAGAAACTGACAAATGTGTTTCCCTTGCACTTGCATTAAATATCATAATTTACTGCCATGCTCTTATGTTTTACATATGTATTTTAACATTTTGAGATTGAATGAAAAAACGGCCTATAGACTGTATATATGTGCACACATACAGAGATGTGCATAATACAGGTGATAAGTAGTTCTGACTACACTTCAAATCACCACTTTCAAATCATGTGATACGTAGGAATCGATTATATGTGTTTTAAATAGCCATAACAATCTGGTTACCCAAATAATAAGTGTCAGTCTGAACCACAGCCATGGAATCAATTCTTATTCTGATTCTGTTTTTTAACACCTTTTTTTGTTCAGGTTAAAGTCCCAAATTCCAGACATAAAAACCTCTTTAGATATAGTAAGACATCTACAGTCTAGAAAGGTAAGTGTTTTTCCTAGTTATTTCAGCTAGATTATATAAGGAATTAATGGAAAGCTTTACCATTTTATGTTATTTTTCATTGCATTAACATATAAAATTTCATTACACATACTCTTATCTAATTAAGAAATAATCAACATATGTGGGTGGATTATGGTGGAATATATAAGAGGATGAGAAAAATAATCGTTATACATTTTTTTGTCTTAGACTTGAAGGTTGAAAAGTATTCTAATTTCAATTATACATTTCAGTTCAATTACTAGTTCTAATGGATATTCAGGTAAATACTGAAGAAATTGATTAAAGGGAGATCATTCAAATATAGTATTGATGATTTTCAGGATTCCACTGACCCAGTAGAGACAAGGTTTTTACTGTCAGATCAGGTTTATGCGAAAGCAAAGATTCCACCCACAGAAAAAGTGTGTTTATGGTTAGGGGTAAGTACATTATCATTGTCCAAAACACATGAACATCTCCCAAGAATATTTTTACAAGATTTCGATATTACATAATGCATTATGTATTGAAAGAGCATATTAGATAAAATGCCATTGGTAATACCGTAAAAGGTTATTCTACAAAAGATTATATTGGGGGTAGAGGAGCACTTTAATTAACAATATATGGGGTCTAGGATGGGTTAATAATTATCACAATTTTCTGGAATAGACCATTGCAATGAGAGTACTTCAGGAACAAAAAATAGCAGCAAAGTAAAAAAATGTTGGAGTTGGGTATCATGAATTAAAACAATCTAGGATAATAACTGGTAATTATAAATGACTTAACCTTTGATTAATGTTGTTACGTTTATATATTTTCCTTATTTGTAAATAATGCTTGGTCTTTTTCTGTTTTCTTTTCAGGCTAATGTAATGTTGGAATACACTATTGATGATGCAACAAGTTTGTTAGAAAAGAACTTAGATGCAGCTAGCAAAAACCTAACACAAGTTGATGACGATTTAAGTTATATTAGAGACCAAACAACAACGTTAGAAGTCAGTATCCTTTTTACCAAATATTTACACGCCCAAGTGTTCAGGCATTGGACCAAGTTATGTTGAAGGTGTCTGTTTGTCCAGAGGTCTAGGGCACGTGTCAGCATTTTAACTTTAGTGTAAGTTATACCCCTCCGAACAAAGGCAAATTTCACAAGACTTCAAAACACTGTCTAGTATAATTGTAGACATGTGGCTTACCTTGGCCAAAGCACTCAGTGAATTTCACACTTTTTGGCACCTAAGCCATTGGTATGTAAACCCGGTATGTACTTTATTTGTGAAATAAAAATGAAAAAGAGAACAGTAATCACTGTTATTTAATAATAAGGTACACTGGGCAGCATCTCTTTATAATTATAAAAATATATAAATAATAATGATAATAACGCTTTATTTTTAGAAGGTAGCTCAATTAGTTACAAAACTATTCTCCCTTGAGGCCTTCTCTACAATCTACGGCAATAATATATACAGAGTAATAGCATTAAATATGAATATAAATTCAGGTATAATCAAAGGCAACATTGCATAGATTTGAAATACAATTCTAGCATAATTACAGCCAAACATGTTGCTGTAAAATGTATAGTAAATTAATTGTACATGGACACAATGTAATTATATTATCAATACTTAAATATGAATCAAGAAGCATATACATAGTAATTTACAGACAACATTGCAAAGATTGTAATCTTTCTAGTACAGGAACTTGATAACATGGAGGATACAGCAATATGGTCATAATATAAATATGGATCGAACTAGAATTCAGAGGTGAAGAAAGTGCTTAAAACATTTTGTCTTGAAAGACTGTAGACTGTCAGAATTTTTAGTTTGTACGGGCAATCCATTCCATGCATGAATACCAAACATTTGAAAGCTTTTCTTATATAGTTCTATCTTAGGTTTGGGTTGGATCAGTTCTCTATCTGTTGTAAAACGTAAAGTATAATTAGATGGAGGTTGGACAAATAAATTCTTGAGGTATTTAGGTGTTAATCCATCAATTGATTTATACATAGTACAGCTTTGTGATAATTCACCCTTTTTGTGTCGCATGCGAAAAGCTGGTGACACATAGGTATTGCTTTGTCGGCGGCGTCGTCGTCGTCCGAACAGAGGTTTTCGTGCAATAACTTGAGTTTCCTTGGGCTGATCAAACTCAAACTTCATGCAGTGCTTCCTTACCAAAAGTGCTTGGTTGGGATTGCTTTTCAGGTCCGAAGGTCAAATGTCAAGGTCACTGTTACTATAAATAGAAAATCTGTTTTCGTGCAATAACTTCAGTTTCCTTGGGCCGATCAAACTCAAACTGCATGCAGGCGACACATCCACTTCCGTGGAATTCTTGTATTAATTTCTAAACTGTAGTTTCAATTAAAGTGGTTTAGATGGTGCATCTGATGGTTCATTGAGGATTATACGTGCTACTCTTTTTGTAATTTTAGCACTCTAAGTTTTGTTTGGAACAATTTCCCCATATAGTTATACAGTAATCCAGTAGTAGCAAAATATAAGCATTATAGTACAGTATTCTGGTATTCTGAGGCAAATACTTCCATATTTGAATAAGCAATGCTAAAGAATGAATCATTATATAAGTTACTTTTCAGAAAAAGTGTCATGTTAGAATTTGGTTCTGTGAGGAAGAAATCCCATATTAAACACAGAATTGTGAGTGTTATAGCATCACCTAGATTTAACAGTATTGTGATTTTGTAAACCTTGGTGTTAGTCAGTGTTGATTTATAGCAGTGTTTGTCCTGAACCGTTTCCTTAACTTGATTCTTAGATATGGCGCGAGTTTACAACTGGGATGTGAAGAGACGACAGGCAACACAGGGAGCTAAGTCATAGTCCTCAGCCTCTCCGTCAATTCCACGCCAAAGTTTCTGACCAGGCTGAAAAACCTTGCTCTCTTTCTGATGACCAGCTTCAAAACTACCAAATATTTAACTTACTGTAAAATTCCTTTATACAATGAAAACAGTTCAGCTGCTTAACAGTGTAACAGTTCCTAGGTTTTGATGAAGAAAATACATTCGTGTAGATTTGATTGGGCATTGACTTTGTGTTTCAGACAACAAGCAGAGGTTTACTGTTAAGAGTGGGTTTTTTTATCAAAGAAAACTTATCTGTTTTTCAGAAGTATTTCAACCTAGAAAGAGTTTGGATTGACTTTCAAAGACGGGATCAAGAAAAAGTTAAAATTTCATAAATAACACCAGTAAATTAAAATAAAAATAAGTGCTCTGAAAAAACAGTTTTGCAGTTAGCTTGAACACATAATAGAGCTTAACCTTTTTTTAAATTATATAGTGGAACAACTTTCCCCTGTTGTGTTAATTATGCTGTCTATTTGTTTGAAGGTTATATACAGATATTTATCAGTACTTCTGTATTAAATGTAAATTGGATTTTGATACATTAAAAAGTGCAATAAAATTTCGAAATAACCTGTAATCTCTACTTCATCAAGCCATTTTGAATTCAATATGAAAAAGAAAATCACGATAAACATTTGAATACCAGAATCAGGGGAACCAGTCAATATGGTTTAGCGCTTGTCACAGCTTTAGTGTTCAAAATCTGGTTAAATCTCAGCAGCGTGGAATGATCATAATGTTGGCAGTTAATCATGTTTGTGAACAAAATGTCTTTTTATTTCATACACTTGAAAATAAATCCTTTGTATCATATTATAAACTGTGTATCTTTTGTGATGTTCATTATGTCAGTAAAACCACTGAAATAAATACAGTGAAGTGGATTTCTTTTATCACTGTTTTTGTTTTGCATAATATCAATAAAGTGTGATGTTGAGGCTTATGAGAGCTTTCTCTTACCAAAGTTGTGAAAATGTTGTTCTTTGATACAAGAAGTGGAACTTTAATCTCCTGTGACTACAATAGGACCAACCTTTACAAGTAAGGGTACACTAAAAAATGGAATCAACTTTAACCGGAACAAGTTGTCCTCAAGAGATCCGATTTAGATGTGTACGTTTCTGATCATATTTACATAACTGATCATATTGATATACTTTGCTCTGCAGTGTACCCTTTTGTAGAATACACATTTTCTGTGACGGTTTTCCTTTTGTAGAACTCATCCCTTTCCTATGAAAATTGATCCTTTTGTTGATAACACACTTACCTATGAAAGTTGTCCCTATTGTAGAGTACATCTTTTGTACACCTTTTCCTGTGAAGGTGATCATATTTTCTCCCACAACTGCTGTAGGTTTCAACACTCATGACCTGTTGGGAAAAACCAGCTAGGGGTTGGTAAACATTTTTGATGGGTAACACCCTGGACATGGTTTCATTGGGCAATCTTTGATTTATGATGTCACGTAACGATGCTTTTCGACGTCATTTTTCCATTGTGATGCTATGCTCCATGGCAATTCTTTCCCCTTTCGGAAACACACATTATGTATTTCCAGAGGGGAAAATTAGTTTCTTTCTTCAGATAAAATAGGAATTTTATAGGAGAAACAGGTTTCCAACCTCGTGATGATTAGTTATCAAATCATAAAAATATGAAAATATCTTGGGTCTTGTACAATTTGAAGATTAACTAACATGATATTCAACCACCACTCGTTGGGGAACCTCTATGTAGAGTACACTCCTTCCTTTGAAAGTTGTTCCTATAGTAGAGTACAACCTTTCCTGTGAAAGTGTATCCTAATGCATAGTAAACCTTTTCCTGTGAAGATTGACACCCATTCCTGTGAAGATTGACACCCATTCCTGTGAAGATTGACACCCATTCCTGTGAAGATTGACACCCA